ATGAGCAGCGGCATTATTGGTGGTAGCAGTAGTAGTGGTGGCGCAGACCTTTTCCACAGGAAAAAAACAAAAAAGGAATACAACGATAGTCAACGCCGGCGCCCCCAGCGGGCACACCGCAAAAAACAGCGGCAGCCCACAACTGAGGCCGCACCGACAAACGCGTGGGCTGCACGATCACGCACTCGCTGCCGCCCGAAGAAACACCCACACGCACCCGCACGGAGAGTCCGCAGTGTGGGACGCCTCCCACATAAATCAAAAACAATAAAAAAACAAATTCATAAGCACCTCGCTTACCGTCTCCCCCGCCCAGTCCCTTCAAACCCCGCCAGCGGCAACACGTAGTGCGCATGCCGGCGGGACCTCCCATCACGGCCCCCACAAAACCCCCAACGCCCCCCACTTCCCTCAATGCACTGCAGCAGGAGTGGAGAGCAACGTCAAAAATGAAATTGAAAGAACAATAAAAACAATACAAAATAAACGGGGCACGCAGCACCACCACGACAAGACACACGCAGCAGATGCCTTCCTTCTGCGGCCACAAAAACAAACTCTCGCAGCGATACCACCGCTACCAACAACCTAAACGCAATCGCCCGCCTCCCAGCCGCACCGCGGTGCTCGTGGAAGTGAAGCACCTCAAAAAAGGCTGAGTGAAAACAAGAAACCACTTCAATCACCACGCACGGCACGTACGCCTCCATACGACGTCGCCAACCGGCACTGACGCACCTTCCGGCCCCAAAAATACACCGTCTTCTCCTCCTCTTTACGCTGAGCAGCAACTCGGGGCGTGACGCCGTCACACACCCGCCACGTGTGTTGATTGGCGCACTCGCAGCGTGCTGCACGTCAATAATTTCCCCCTCGACAACTCGTCAACGAAAGTTTCCCCATTTTATTAAATACACCTCGCCGTGCACTCACCGACCTCCATCATTGTGCCGGCGCTGCCGCAGCAACGTGCGGCCCAACCGCCCTTCACCGTCAACACCCACAACACCCCGCACTTCCAACCCACATGCGCAGGGGTACTATTCCTTCTGCAGCAATACAGCAGACTCGGTGGGGTGCCCCATTTAGGGTCTTGCGTGCAGCGCACACAACCGTCGCCGGTGCCAGCCTGCTGCAGACAGCTGCTTGTGTTGGGGCCGTGCCTTGCCGACAGGAGATCCTGCCCGTATGATTGCGATCAGGCCGCGTTGCGAGTTCCTTTGATAAACGGAAATCCGGAAGCTCCACCAATACGTGTATATATTATATATACACATACTCCCTTCCTCCATCCCCATGTTCGTTGCCGGCTGTTATTTTATTTCATCTGCCAGTTTCTCACCCATCGGTGCGCCGAGAAACACACCTCGCCGCCACACCTCCCCTCTGCCACCGGGGGACGTCTTCACCACTCTGTGAAATGCGCCCTCGCCGCGCCACGTCTGCATGTCCAATCCCAACGAAAAGAATAATTCCCAGCACCCGAAAAGGCAATCAACCCCACGGCACCCACCGCCGCAAGGAACCGACCAAAAGACTCACGGAAAATGTCATGAAAGCAAAAAACAAAAATAAAATAAAATAAAATATGCCTCCAGATGAGGCCATATGGCTCCCACTCCTAAAAAGCGAAGGTCGCACAATGGGGGATCGCAGTTTGGCTCGGTGGGCCCCGCAACCACCCGGCTCCCTTCCGCATTGGAGGGTGCCATTATTACCATCAGTTGCAGTGGGTGTGTGTGGCGTGGAAGAACTGAAAATAAAAAATACTCGCGCTGCTCCCCAACGCGGCATCGCTGAAAGCTAAAAATCAAGTCATTCGCAAAACAAGCAGGGGAACCACACAAAACCATTTGTCGTCTGCTCAGCCTTAGCGGGTGGCACACTCCCCCCACCGCCTTCTCTCAGCAAAGCACCCCGCCCCCGCTGCAATACACACGAGGAAGCCGCCACTCCGCCCACTACACCAACCACAATAATAATACAACTCGCCTCTCCCCCACTCCCAGCCATGCCGCCGCCCTTCCTTCCCACCAAGAAAGAAACGCACTGAAACAATGTCTTGAAACGACACAAACCCATACAACACCATGTAACACACGAGTAGGGCGGATTCCCAAACACACCCCACGCCCCTGTCACTTATCCTGAGTGGTCTTCGCTGGCAGCAACAACCAGCTGGAAAGCCAGCTCCGCGTCAAGCTGCACCTGGTACTGCTCCACCCTTCTCTCCCAAAAGTCGCTGGCGACCTGAACTCTTAGCATTTCCTTTTCTCCCTCCGTGACATGGCAATCCCGCCTGCCCCTCATCAGCGTGCTCGCAGCGTGCTGGATGTAAATGATCTCCTACTTCATCTTTTCCCTCAGCGCCTCCCAGCCCTTGAAGTTGCACGTCATGTACTTCAGAAACGCAGCCACCTTACCGGGAGTGGTGTGGTGGGTATTGTGTTTTGCCACCTGCAGCCCGATGAACGTCACTTCCCTTTCCGCACCGCTGTGCCCACCGGCGCCAGCATTTCGGGACTGCCCAAATTTTATTTTTTTATTGGCAGTTTCCGTTGGTTGCACCCCGACCACGTAGAACGCGTCCAGCAAGGGGAAAAAACACTTGTTGAGCATATACAGAACGCCAGCTTGAAGTTCACTCTGGATTATTACTTTTCTATTATCTTCACCTGCCATGCACCCAACCACGCAGGGGGGCCTTGGAAAGCGGCCCACCGCATGCCCGTTCGCCAACACGCTGGCCCGCGTTACTCCCTCGCTGCGGGGAAGGTGCTTCATCTGGCGAGCAACCGCTTCAGCGACGTCGCTAATCAGAAACGCCACGCAGCCCAAGCACTCAATATCATCAGCTGCAGACTGACTCCACGTTCCCAAAGCGGACAGCAGGCGGGACATCCTAAAGTTCTTCATTAGCACCCGCCTCCGCAATGTTCTTTTTGACCTCAAGTGAAACGGAAAAATTCCTGCAGCTTTCCGCGTCCTCTCCATTCCCCGCATTGGGCCTCACCACCACCGACGCATCCCTCACCACGCGCTCCTCCTCAACACACGCACCACCTCCCTCCGCACAAATACATCCTCGTAATCTGGCAAAAGGAAATTTTGTG